ATGTCTCGACGCCTGCTTACGTTACATGAACCTCTTAGTCTGACTGCACATAGTCGGCTGTTGACTGGGATCCAGTCAAGCAGAGCTGATTCAGCCCTGGCACTTAATATAACCCCAACACCAGCTTGACCAGTGGCGGCAGATTCTGGGTCTCCGGAAAGCCGCAAGTAGTATTTGGCGTCAGAGTTTACCGGAGAGGCCATTCTGATGACGGCGCTAGAGTCTTGTAATCTGGTCTCTGAAAGACAACAGATGTCTACCGATAGCGTTTCAAGAGTACGGGCCAGACATGCTTGTCGTCCGATCTGCATCAAAGTTCGAACATTAAACGCTGCGAGGATGAATGGAGAACCAGGTCGGAGAAGAGCTGGAGCTTCGGTGGAGTGAGAGGCGGTTGCGATCGCAGGACATTGAGAACCGGGAGTTTGGCTGTTACTTCCATCAGCTGCGAGACGTGGGTCGTTTGTGACGGTGACCGTAGAAGACATAAGAGTACATGTAGATGAAGGACGGGAGGTGGGGTGGTCTGTGAGTGGACGTTGAGCGGTTGAGTTAAGACAGAAGTGCGGCATAGCAGTAGTAGTAGTGAGCGGTGTAGTCCATGATTCGTCAGCGGGCGTGATACTACCCGGTTGCCCAGGCCGAAGTAGAGGGTTGTCTTAAGGGTCCCTACCCCGAGCCTTTGATCAAAGATCTAACCTACAAGGCAGCAGGGCGATGTGAGGGCGTCGCAACCCGTTGGGAGCCGGTGACCAAGTAGATGGTTCATACGCCTTTCGGTCCGTGAAGGACCAGGGGCCCAACTCACCCTTAAAGTACAATGCCTCTCAGGGAGGGGCAAGGGGCAGTGACTTTATTTAGTGGCGAGTCACATCCGCCACGTCGCAGTGTTGTTAAACTGACATATGTGGCTTTTTATAGGGAGAACGCTTGTCAGGCGAAAACCCACCACGTCCTGGAACACTGCCGCCGAACCATTCGCTGGAACGGGAAAAACCCGAACCACCCAGCTGGCACAACGAGGAGGTTGTTCGGCAAGCCAGCCGCAGTGTTACCAGCTCAGATATGAATGCGCAGTTAAGCCGTCTGAACCCTTCAGAAGCTTTGCTTGGTGGTAATTATGGGTTTAACTCTAAAAGGATGGGCGACGACGAGCGTCTGTCGCAACTGTGTGCGAAGCACCAACTGTTTCTTAGTAGCACTGCTTTCAGACACACTGGGCGCCGAAGTGCCACTTGGCGTCATCCTGTAGCTTGCTAGCGATGTACCCAAATTGATTATGTTGCCATAAGTTACAATTGACGTGGTTCCACCCTGGACTGTCTCGTTCTGGAGTACTTGTGTCGACTCTGATCGTGCCATGGTACGCTATCGCTTCTCCTTGAACTTGACCGGAAGGCGCACTAAGCGTCTCCCCCGATTGACAACTGAGTAATTATTCAAGTTCTGGTTCATCCAAACCTGTCAACCTCCTTGCGTACCGAACTTTTGTCCCTTTGTCTTAATGAGCTTCAGTGGAATAGGATCGCGGTCGCCAAAGAAGCCTGGTGGACCAGTGGGGTTCAAGAAATGGTGGGAGCAAAAGCATTAGGAAGTTATCGCAAGCTTTTCCATCTGCCCTGCACCTCTAGTCCCAGGAAACTAGGCATCAGTGAGACAATAAGAGGCGGCGCGGTTGCATTGCATCACAATGAGGTGCGCCGTACTACTCGTTGGACAGAGCACTTTCGAGAGCAGTTCAGTTGTCCCCCTGCTTCTGGACCTCTTCCTACTCAGGTGTTGCATCCTGGGCCATGACCAGTTATTTTAGTGACTCCATCGTAATCGTTTGCCTGAAGCTCGATCACAGCCCTCAATGGTTTTCGTGCTGCTGGTCGGAATTCGCTCACATCCTTTGCAGAGCACTGACTTCCTTGATCTAACAGGTCTGGAAGGCAGAGGCCATCCCAGATAGCTGGAGTGAATCAATAATTTTGGAGATATACACGAATTGCAGTCTCACAGACTGTGCTAACCATATGGTTATTGGCCTAACAGCAGTTGTGACAGAATCACTGGCTTCGATTCTCGTTCGTCGCCTCACTGCGGAGCGATAATTACGGATTAGGGAAGAGCAGGCAGGTTTTCGCCCAGGGCGTGGCTGTATAGACCGTATATTCACTTTGCGGCAGGTGCTAGAACAGCGCCACGCATACCGCAGACCGGCAATAGCTATGTTTGATCCAGTCAATTGATGAATTCTGTTCGGAATACTGGCGCGGAAAGGTGTTCCAATGAGATATGTGGACATTTTACGTGCTCTGTATTCAAACACTACAAGCTGCGTCAGGATCTACGGTGACCTGTCGGATATCGTTCTGATAACGTGTAGCGTTCCTCACGGTAGCCCAAATTCCCCATTTTTGTTCACTTTCGTTGTGAACTACATCATCGAGTGTTCCCTTACGGAGCCTCACGATGCAGGCGTTGAGTTATTGCCTGGGGACAAGCTAGTTTAGCTTAATTGTGCGGACGATATCGTCTTAATTTTTAATGATGTTGGGGCGACGCAATCAACCCTGAACAGCCTCTTTAGAGTGGTCCCATTATTTGGTATGCGTTTCGCACCTTCAAAGCGCAAAATACTGTTACAGAACCGCCATCCACTAGACGAATGACAGGCCCTTGATGGCGAGGAACTCGAGGTTGTTGATGACTTCCCCTACCTTGGCATCTGTATCAGCAAGGATGGGTACATAGCTACTGACGTCAGTTCACGTTTTGCAAAAACCAGAACTGCCTTTTTGAATTTTCGACATCTTTGGCGAGAGAAAGGGTTTCCCTCCGTTTGAAAGGTCGTGCTTACAAGGCAATATTGTGAGCCGTCCTGCTGTATGGGAGTGAGATTTGGCCACTTTTTTCGAAGGTCTGTAGTGCCTTGAAGTTTGATCATTGCTGTCTGCGAAACACTGCTGGTCTCGGATGGCACCAGGACGTCCGCAACAATGGTTTGCGGAGGGGAGTACTAAGTGGTGATAACCGGGCTACTTGACTAGAAGAACAGGTAGCACTGAATATGTTGCCTTGGTTTGGGCACTACTACGTATGCCTGGTCACCGCTTACCGTGGACGGCGTTGTTTTGTTCGCCACATGTAGGGTGGCGCAAGGCCTGAGGTGTGCAGAAGTTAACGGCATCTGCAAATGAAGTCACTAGCGACCAAAGTCGGCGCCGTCGGTCCGTCTTGGCTTCCAGGCTGGAGTCCACGTGACTCACCTTGTGCTTGACTTGAGATGTTACAGGACATAACTCGCAGTCGACACCAGTGGCGTGTCTGCTGTTGTCTCTTAATCGGATTGCCTGTTTTGATTATGTATGGTACTGAGTTATCTGTGGGCTAGTGGCCGATTATGATGCAGGGCTGTGAAAGCCGCAAGGAAACTTTCTTGCTAATGTCGCGCTTTTTGCACGGTAGCCAGTTATTTGTGACAGTATGTAGTTGACAAAGTGTAGGCGCCTTGGTTCTGGATGTTTGCTTGGGACATTAAAGCTTTCCGGTAAGTTATTTTTCTATCCTTATTATCCTTCGTTCTCTAGGTTTTTATGATTGTATGGCAGCGAAGCATCAGTTCAAATGGCTGATGTACTGCTGCTGATTGATTGATAGATTTATGGTGCACTATATGCGGCCATAATGCATGACGATTTTTACGAGAAGATCTTATTATCTTATAAGCTCCAGCATTCTGACTACGTATATCGGCGAAAAGCAAACTAAAACTTCCCTATTTTGTGGAGTAAGGAAATACCTTCATCATGGAGATCTAGAAAATTAGGTTTATCTGGCCTCTGACCATTATCTATTCTGATATGTGTGGCTGTGCCTGTGCAAATGCAGCACGCAGGATAGCGCAATGTATCCTTGAGGCACACACACTACTTTAAGGTTCATTCTCATCACAGTAGACCTTCTAGTGGTTACTCGTTACTCAAAACTACAGAACTGTTTGGGCAGTCTAATCGAACTCCACGAAGTTCCTCAAAATCTTCTGGTCTCTGGCTGTCACCTACTCTCTTTCACTGATTCACTTGATTCAGGACTTCGGTGCATACATTTTGGTGCCTTGTGTGATTGCTCTACAGCTTCGTCTAAATCAGCATTAAATGTATTGAGCTACTTCTTTCTTGCGCCTACCACTTAGCCACCTCTGCGGACACCGTTTTCGTTGGTGCACCCTGTTTATATGATTCCTTTGTTTCAACCCGGGTTTTACGAAAATGTGTGAACTGATTGACTGTAAAACATTGAAACAGTTGTTTGCGTCCTCATTGGTTTGGGGGTTTGAGGTCTTGTTATACGGATTTTGTCTGTTGTAGTTCAGCTGCAAATTTCGTATCACTTTTACCTTTCGCCCCTTGCTTCTTGTTGTTCATTTATTCACTCTGTTCTATACAATTTCCTGCATGTTTGCAATATCTTTATCATTTCCTCCGCTTTTGTTAGTTTTTGTTATCTTGGCGCTACGGGTCACAGTTAATTAGTTGAATTTTAACGAGGCTGAAGCCTATACCACATGTGTCAAGGTCAAAAATATTCTAACACTATTTTTGTTTGCTATACCCATAGTTTTCTGCGTAATTTGGAAATGTTCATCATACAGGGTGTTACGATCCTGTATCATATCCCTTGGGAATAGTGCTGGATCACTTTTCGTAGTTTCCCTCTTCCCAGCACCCTTTCGTCACCAGCCAACACGGCTGAGCTTGGATAGCACACACATTTCTATAAACTGTACTTCCTTTAAATAGTCTACCATATTACTACACATCTGTGTGTTGAACTTCTGTGCTGCACTCGATGGGATTCTGCGTTGGTTTTCCCGACATTTCTGAAAACGGTTTGACAAGTCGATTGTCTCTAATTCATGTTCGTTGAACAACGCTAGTGAAGTGTTTTCAACTGTTTATTGGTAGCGGCCAACGTGTTACTGCCCTATTTTTTTCTTACCTTCACCTTGGACAGCTCTGACTCGTGCCTCGATTGTTTACTGCTGTCTTATGGGACTTGCAGTCAGTGGATTCCGGTCGGAAAGTTTGGAATGTCTGGTTACTAATCCGCAAACATCCGAGCAATACAAAGACGAGCATGCAACAACTACTCCTCACGAGCAATGTCCTTCTGACACTTTGCCGGAAAATTTCCTTATCAAACGTTTTGGGGCGATTCTATTGGATTGTTGTCTTCGGCCTGTATCAAATGGGAGGATAGCACTCAGTACCACCTCTTTACTGTATTATAGCAGCGATTTCAAATTCACTTGGCCTTTGTGGAGTATTCGGTGGTACGGTCAAAATGGAGGTTATTTTGTTTTCGAGTCTGGCCGAAAGTGTTTCTCAGGTGAGGTTAGTCACATGTCGTCAGCTCCCCTTCTATTTCACGGATATCTTTCCATGCAGCATTCTTGGCAATTATAACGCACCTTAGATATGTCAATACTATTCTTCGTTGTTCTGCCTTTCGGAAAGTAGAAGCAGCCGAATTTCGAGGGCCTTTTGAAGTCAATTCGAAGCGGTACTTAGAACTGTGACTCCGGAAAAATGGAAGGGAGGCATCAGCAGTGGGGTTAACATCGTACCGACGCTTCAGTGTCACGCCCCCACCCACAGTCGTGCGTTGGCCAGGTATACCTCGAGGTCGCCGAACCTACACGGGTTCGAACCGGTGACCTCCAGATTACACGGGTAGGTGTGTAGTCCATCCGACTATTGGCCCACAATGCACGATAGACACATTGATGCGTTGACAAGTTGCTGTACGCTGTACCAGAGTCGCCCTACTTTTCTTTGTCGTAATATCTTTCAATTGTGCCGGTCGCTTCCTGAAGTGGGATGTTGTGGATTTTTTCTATTCTTGAGCTGGTGTGGTTAGCAAGAAATAGAAGACAGTTAATTAGATAAATAAACCTCTTTTCTTGACGATGCAAGAGACTGTTCCCCTATGAAGAAACATCAGAAGGTACACAGTTTTGTTCACAACTGGTCTCATCTGGGTTTGGACTGGAGAGGAATCCTTTCAACATATTTAGGTGGGCTGTTATGTTCGTTACGGTGTCACGCATTTCTGGTATGCAACATAAAAATGACAACCGTATTGTGTGTATTCTCACAATTGGTGTCATATTTTATTAGCGGTGCTTTCGTGCACAGTACTTCCTCGAAATCACTCGCTCGTGATTTAGCTAGGGTGGGAAATTTACGGGAAGTGAGGTTATTTGCCAATCAGAATCGCACTGCAAATGAGAAATGTATCGCTAGAGTTGACTGTGACTCCGAACAGTGACGTATGCAACAGTATGAAGTGACGGCATACACTCTTGCTATTGTTATCAAAGCTGATGATGCTCGCGGCAACTCTTGTTGAAAATACACACACTCTCCAGATGACTACATCACGATCCCCCATTCATTGATACAAATGTTTATCCATCACCGTTTTTGAAGTCACCTCGCAGTTTTTGCTTAATATCTTCTTTTACTTATCCTTTATAATCTCTGCCTTCTCATCCAACTCACTTTAGGACCTGGCTTGTTTCTGTTCAAGTGCAAGCATGCAAAGAAGCTGAATGATTGCATCAATGAACAAATAGCGAAGCTATGTTCTCTCACTCGTGAAATTCAAGCCACAAATGTTCTTTCAAAGTTCCCTCGTCGTGCGGTATGTTACTTTTTTATACATTACTGTGGTCCATTAATTTCTAATGAATCGTCTTCTAATTCCTGAGAATCATGTTTTTGCCCACCATTGCTTGAGTCTATGGTTTCCTCATCGGATCATTTTCCAGCATTGTATCCGTCACGGTGGGTTACACCGTCCCCTGTGTGTCTCTTCAGTATTGCACACCCTTATGCTTCTTCTTCTCGCAATCAGAATATAGTAACTTTAACTATCGGCTGAATTAATATGGAGATACGACACTTCACTTTAGCCACTCCTTCGGCGAACGAACTCTGATATTGGAAGATAGGCGAATAGCGCAACGAACTCAGCTCCAGTGATTGGCGTTTCTGTTAAAATACATCACCTGGCGGATTTTGACATTATATTCCCTATGCGGTCGCATCAGGTCAAAACAGTGCCCGGTTGACGGTGGTGTTCGCTGAGTAGCCCCTTCCAACAATTAGTGTGTGTGTGTGCGTTTGATCTGTACAGAAACAGTGGCTATCATGCAGTGCCATACTTCCTATCATGGTTTGTTGCTCTGAAATCTAGTCATTCGTGTGCGTGATTGTGCTTGGGACTGCCCCACGGTATTTGTCTTAGTGCGTCAGATGTGATACGGTTACCTAGGGAACGATCGCGCCACACTGGGAAAACGTAATTATCGAGGAACTTGGGCAATATTGAAACAGTTAAACGGAATCACCTGTATGGTCACTCATTCTACTCCGGATATGGAGTATTTAAACCCCTTTCTGTAACCTGGACGGCAATTTAGTCTCCGGTTTATAATTTGTTGAGTTACAATTGCCCTCAGATTAACCACCTTCCGTGAATATCTTAAAGTACACAGGGATTCAGTCAGCCTGAAGTCGATGCAATCATCTTGTCCGGATAAACTGTCGCTGTTGACCTCAGGTAATGTGCTGATTAATTAACACATCTCTCCACCCGAATTGTACACGCTGTGCTTAAAGCAACACAACTGGTGGGACGCAAGCATCACGACGGCGCCAAAGAAATAAAACCTACAAATATCTACTAATTGTTTGCATTTCAAATGCTTTGACGACTTTTGACAGGCTTATTCTTTTAACAATGTTAACCTTGACACGCTTGGACTGTCCACCTTAGTTCGCATATCCGAATTCAATATCCACCTCAGATGCGATAATTTGCCTGGTGTATTTCTTGCTTTTACCACCGGATAATAAAAGCAAATTTATGCGCATCGGTTTCCTGGACTGTAGCAACGGTTTCTGCAACCTTATCCTTGAACTGCCGTTGCGTGATCTGCTCAGTACTGGGGTTCAACCTTCTTCCACTAAAGGATTACTTTACCAAACGCACCCAGTTTAACAGGTTTTGAGGGAAAAATTACTCAGCGCTCATCATAAATTCAGGTGTTCCACGTGGGGCCATTCTGTCCCACTTTTAATTTTCTACTTAAGGAAGGTAGCTTGCTGACGTATGCGGATGACGTAATCCCAGGTGTCTATTATATAACCATAGTGTCACCAGCCAGATTACGTCTTACTGGACAGTTTCACAGCTTGGTCCAAAGTCCACTAACTATAGTTGAATAACGGAAACTGCGAAGATGTTTTTTCACTAACGAAAAATAAATCGATATCAAGGCTTCATACTGTTCCCACGACTTTGCCTCGATGTTGAAGATGTGATGTCTTCCACGCCAGTGACATACCTGGGAGTGACACCGAGCACTGGTCTTACGTAGTCCCTTCACGCAAACGAAATACTCACTGAATCCAGGAGACTCGTTCTATGTTACATGTCTCAGAACTTCTTCCGTACCGACTTGTCTGGTCCTACGCTTTATCACTGCGTGCGTGTTACCTTATTGGGCCTACTGTTCTCCAGTTAGCTTCCCTGAACTCTTGAGCAAGAGCTTCTGAGGCATTGCCAAGTCAGTGCGGCATCCATGTCGATGTAGTGGGGTTTCAAAGTCGGACTCAAAAAATCGCCAGCTGTACGTCGTAACGGCGCTTCGCTGCCGCGCGACCGCCATCAGTCGCGCGCGGGCTGAGTATACCGCGAGGACACCCACCCCTACGCGGATTCGAACCGGTGACCTTATGTTTGCAAACCAAAAGCGCAGATCACTCGGCCACTTGCCGGAAGTTGCTAACATCACTGTATTCAACCGAGTCAATTCCTGTAACCTATTTGCGTCAAAAATTGTCAATGAGTATAGTCACCCCCACCATAGGACGTTATCCGAATGGATATCATCATCATCATCATCATTACACGTTAGCTGGAGGTGGAAAACACCTCAGCTATTGTGCCGCAATACAAAAGGCAAGAAAAGAAAAAACAGACAAACAGTGGCACGCCCGCTGAGTCCCCAGTAACGGATGGACATCGTTCCGGAGAGCTAACAGCTGGCTGCCGTAAAAGAAAGTCATATTATGCCTAACGACTGAGATCGTGATTGGAGGGGGATGCTAAACAGGAGGGGGATGGACAAAGGAACTCACAACACAAACGCCATTGGGGCCGGCTCCTAGCCATATCAGCAAGTGTGCCCAGCCAAACGTGTTCACCGTCCTTAGGACCCCAGCCAGGCAGTCGGGATGCACCAACCGACGCCAACTTCGAAGTCAGGGTTTTCATTTCTCGCGACCAAGTCATCACTTGGCCTCCCCTCCGAATGGATATCGTACTATTCACTAGACGTGTGTATATATTTGTACACGGGTCTATAGTACGTCGGTCGTATTTTGCTCAAAATTTAGTCAGTCAAAAATTGGTGGCTAAATTACTTCAATGATATTATCGCCGTCAGCTCTTTTTTAATAACTGCTGTTTTGTGTCTATCCACTTGTTTCATTATTTTCCCTGTACAAAGTGTGTGTTTTACGGCTAAATATTCCCCCCTCGTGGGTGCAAACAGTATATCCCTGACTTGAATCGATCCCACAATTCCATTGTCTACTTTGCGACTGTGGAAACGGGGGGTTCGTGTGTTTGATAGCATGGTGCGCTGCATCTCGAAAGTGTATTACCCACTGAAACGCGTGAGATGATCAAACTCAAACTCTTCACTTGCTTTCTTGCGGTCTTGATCCATTCCGCTCGTTCCCTCTAGGCCTATCAATGGACTGTAGAGATCGTAGCACATTCGTTCGTGCACATGACAAAGTTTCTTATGAAGGAAAAAGTTAATTTTTCAACGCAATTTAGTTATAAAACCGCGATTCGAGCACCGAAATGCAGTGGAACAGGTTGTCACGTCTCTGGCCGCCATGATAATTATAACAGATGAGGAAAATGGGTCAAAAGGTAAACAAAGCACCTCTAAAGAAGTTGCGGAACCGGTAAATGAAATCAATCAGGTTTAGTGGTTGTTGGTCGGCTGTGAATGTGTCAATACATGTGATCCAGTGAGTCCATCGACTGTGCCACTTCGGATAACCAGCCTATCCCACTGCGGTGGTTGTTCTCAGAGACCCCCATCCGACAAAGTTGCACGTTCCAACTTGTCAAAATTAGTCAGCTGACGGGGATAATATCACTGAAGTAATTTACCCACCACTTTTTGACTGACTAAATTTTGAGCAAAATACGATCGACGTACCATAGACCCGTGTACAGATATATACTCACGTGTAGTGGAATAGTATGATGTCCATTCGGATAACCTCCTATGGTAGAGGTGACTATACTCATTGAGAATTTTTGATGAAAATTTGTTACAGGAATTGACTCGGTTGAATACAGTAATGTTGGCAACTTCCGGCAAGTGGCCCAGTGGTCTGCGCGCCTGGTTTGTAACTTAAAGCACCCCGAGCTTTTGCTATACAGTTCGTGGTCTCACCTTCGATCTCAAGGGCGATGATACAATTTCCCAAGTAGTTGAATTTCTGAACGACTTTTATCTGATCCCTGAGATTCCCCACATGTGATGCTGGCGGCACCTTTTCATTGCGCTTTTCCGGAAATGACGTAGCTTCGAATGCTGATCAAGCCGGTATGGGCATTGCTTTTAACCCCGGTGCTGGATCTACCCTGATCGATTAGATCCCGATCAACAGCCGGGTGTGCGCAATCTGACTGGCTGACTCGTTTACAGCTTCAAAGTAGAGCGAGGCAAATGGTGCCTGCTTGTTATTGCAGCCTACGCCTCTACAAATGATAGCACTGACGGTGAAAGGTGGCTTCTATCATCGACTGTATACACATCTTTGCGGTAAAAGTACGGATACTGTGGTGCTTGCTAGTGATTTGAAGACTCAACATGGAACATTGTCTACTGCTAAGCTTCGTCTGGACGGTCAACGTGGTGTGGACTGTACTGCTAACCGTGAGCAATGGAGGTGCTCGTATATTTCTCGCGAGCACTAAGTGCCGACACAGCACCCGTAGAAGTGACACTGCGCCCGCCATCCTCGCTCCAGTCACGGACGCAAATCGACCACATCGTGATCAGTTATAGTCGGAGGGGCTGTGTACCAAACCATGGCTCGATTTTCAGCACGAGCGTGAACTTCGATCTCGCGCTTGTATGTGTTGATCTCCTAGTTCACTTCGGCGGACGCCTCCGCGACGCTCTGAGCGTATGAACACCAGCCAGCTGACGAAGGCAAGTTTTCTGATTGCATATCTAAGTACACTGGCATCCGCGTTGTGTGGGCGCTAACAACAAAGTTGCAGATCACCGGTTGCACATCCGCCAGACGTTACTAGAATCAGGCATGTCTTCCTGTGGCAAATCAAATTGCCAAACTGTACATTAGGTCTAGTCGGCAGGTGGCCGAGTGATCTGCGCGTTTGGTTTGCAAACATAAGGTCACCGGTTCGAATCCGCGTAAGAGTGGGCGTCCTCGTGGTATACTCAGCCCGCGCGGGACTGGTGGTGGTCGCGCGGCAGCGAAGCGCCGTTAAGACGTACAGCTGACACATTCATTATTATTATTACAATAGGTCTATATTCAGTTTATAGAACTTCTGAATGTTCGTCTACGTGTTCTGTC